ATTTAATCCATATTTATCTTCTTGATATCTTTTTAAAATTGCTGCAGGAATTGTATGATTTTTAAAAAATTTTACTACCAATATTGCATTTGATAATATACTTTTTGCCCAGTCTAATTTAATAATATCATTAATAAGCAAATTAAGATTATGAGCTAAACAACCCATAAAAATAATTGTTGAATATTTATTATCTAAAATTTTCCATGCTTTTTTTATAACAAAAGCATTATCTGTTATAATTGCTGATACTTTTTTAAAATTATATTTTAAAATAATTTTCTCCAAATCTGCTGCAATATTATTACTATTCTGTTGAATTTCACCTGTTGGTTTTGCAAAAACAAATAAAGGAACTGGTGTAGCAATAATATAATTTGTCCAATGTTCTGAAACTAAATTTGACCTAAATATTATTATAATATAATATTAATAAATTTAAAAATATAAAATTTTAAATTATAAATTTTAAAGCTTAAATTTTTTTAAATTAATAATAAATAAAATATTTACCAACCATCACTTATAATACTAATAAATTCAGCTTTATTAATAATTTTATTAACTTCATCTTTGGTTTTTTCATATACCTTATTTAATAAAGTTGTTGAAAGTTTTTTTCTACTTGGTAATTTTAAAGATAGTCTAGCTTTTTTAAATAAATCTTTTATTGGTTTTAATTCAGATAAAAATAAAGACAAACCACATTGAAAAATTGCTTGAGCAAATATTAATTCAATATCATCTTGTTCTGCTTGAGAGATTCTATCAACAAAATTTTGAATACTTGAATTTCTTTGTCTGCTTGTACTAACTAGTAAGTTTTTTTTTTCTGGTTCTTGAAATGTAGACCCAAAGTATAATTGTTTAATTTCTAAACTAGCTTTATCACATACTTTTAAATATCCTTCGGATCTTATAACTGATTCATTGCATTTATAATCACAATAATCACATTTAGCACGTCCTTGTTTGTAATCTTTATCTGGTCCAAGTTTTGTAAAATGATGCCAAATTGGATGATTACCACCCATGTTATAATAAAGTTGTAAAAAAATGACTTAATAATAATAGAAATAAATTTATAGATAATGGTAAAAATACCAATGGCAAAAAATTAAATTTTAATTGTATATATACTTAAATTAAATATATACACATATATATATTACATATAATCTAAAGTTTAATTTTTCAAAGATAATATGTAATGCATATTATTTGTATTACACAAAAATTTTACGTCCAACAAAATTTAAACCTTATTTATATTCACTATTATAAATAATTAAAAATTATCTCTAAAAAGAGATTAAAACTACCAACTTTTTGAAGATAAGCCAAACTTAGTAGTGGCTAATTTTGAGTTTTAACAACATATGCAAAGCAAGTTCTACATAGAAATACGTACATATGTACATCAATTACTAATTAGAAATTGGCCCACTTATGTTAATGCAGGCCGGAGAATATATTAATGTAGGCCAGATAATATAATAATGCAGGCCAGATAATCTTATACTAAAAATTCCACATGGGATTTTTTAAATCCTGTGCATCACGCGTGAGATCCCGCGTGGATCCTGCGCGTTGCCCATCACTAACTGTGAATGTATTTTCGTAAGCAATTATGATATTTATTTATTTATTTATTGATATTATTTTTTATGTATTTGTCTTTCTTGAATTAGTATTCTACTTAAGTATTTTTGTCATGTCATAATATTAAGCTAGTAAGAAGCATTAAACTTATCAATAACTTTATGTAAGAATTTCTATAGCTCAAAATTTTTAGATAAATTCACTTTAATAGAATTACCAAAGAAATTTCATATTAACATGCCTAAAAAGTTCTATATGTACTAATGCTAAACATATTATTTAATAAAGTTCAGGATAATAAAGTCAATATTTACCATGCCACACTACCTTTAGTACCCGGGTCTTATAAAAAAAAAAAAGGGTATTGTATATAGAAATATACCCATAGGTACTTAACCAAGGGTGGGTACAGAAGCTAGGGAGTACTGTGACATAGTTATATTATGCTTCAATAACTTTTAATTAAATCTATTAAATATTAATACCCGGAACTTATACAATTTTTTTGAGACATTTTTTTTGCAATGTTTCTGGGTATTATTTGAAGGGGGATATTAAATAGAAAAATACTAAAGGTTGTGCAGTATTGTATTACTTTTAGTACAGTCTACCCTCGTTTATATCAACCTATTTGAATTAGTTTAATTTCATGTTGATAGTGATACAGTTAGAGTTGTGACCCAAACCTACTAGTTTAGAATTTAGTAGAATCCCAAATAGTATTTACTTGCTTCACAAAATGTCTTGAATTTTGTTGCAATATCAAATATTCTAACATTCTAACATATAAATTATATTACGGCTAGAAATCCCAAATTTTTTACATGTAAAATTGGGTTTGGGACTCATCTCAAACAAAAAGATCATTTAAAGTCCAGCACCTTAGCTAATAAGATCACAAAATTTTGATATAAAAATGTAATTTATTTATAAGTTGCCTTGTTATACATACCCTTTATATAGTCAACATTTCGTATACTCCATTTTTAATACACATTACTCTGGATATTGTTACTATTGTAGAGAGAGCAATGAAGATATAATGTACAATTTAGCTCTAATAGTAAACATAAAGAGTTATAACTATCTTTCCGTTTCAATGTAAGCATGTGAGGTAAGGTCACAGAGTATGTAAATCAGGATCTGGTAATTTATCTATCAAACTGAATCAGGGCTTATATGATCAATTTTTAAAAGTTTGATTTCGAATGCAAGATGTAGTATAAACACTTTAAGGATATGCAAAATAGGTAATAAATAATGTAGGGTGGGTCAGTATTTTGTGTCAACAATGATAATATGATACGGTAATAAGGATGTTTATGGAGCATAAATAATAATAACTTAGTCTATAATTAATGAGTATAAATAATTCAAATATAACAGTAATAACAATGGGGGCTATATTAACAATAAGTCAACATAATGATATTCATAAAAACTGTATTTAATCATTCGAGAAATTGATTTTTATTTTCACTTCATTAAAAGACATCGAAGTCTGAGAGAACTTTATTAAATCAAAAACTCAGGCTTTAAATACATTTTTAATTTACTATGAATCTACTGTGCTATGTTCTAACCCTCTTATTCCTACAACCTTTTTTTATTCCTTGGGCGCAAGCCTTAAAACTTCCACAGCCTAGGCTAGCAACGATTGTCTTTGTGTTTACAATGATTGTTGTCAGGCCAACAATGATTGTTGCTAGCACTGTGCATACCCTCCAACAATTATCAGTTCCCAATGTTTACCCAAAATACCAAAGATAATAAATAAATAATAAATAAATAAATAAATTAATAAATAAAATTCTAAATAAGCCCCTTTGTGGTTTCAAGTCACGTGATCGGTGGCAATATATCAACAATTTTTTTTTATTAAAAAAAATTTAAAATGTGATACAGTAAGTTATGCCAACATTTTATATTAAAATTTTGAAAATTTTTGAAAAAACATTGTATAGAAAAATTTCACTATAATGTCGTTATATTCAGGATTATGACACGATTTCTCAAAAGTTATTTACCTGCCAACTCATTTCTCGACACCATAATGCCAACATGATAATTTATCTACAGTACTTTTTATTTTTTGATAAGACATATGTTTGACATTACATTTTTTTGACAATCTTTTTTTTAGACAAATAATTCTAGCCAGCACTAATTCTAAATTAGGCCAAATCAGGCAATTTTATGTTGAAGAAATTATTATTAGAAAAATGCTTTATCTAAGAAAAGTATTGTCAAAAATATGTAATGTCGAATATGTCTTATCAAAAAATGTGCTGTAGATGTAATAACATGTCAGCATAGCTTTCGTACAATATGAGTGACATGTATAATTTTACCATTACAATATTGATAGAATAAGCCATTATAACAAGTTTTATTTTTTTATGCCTGTATGCAGATTCCCAATCAAGTAAAACAAAAATAAGTCTATACCAGTGTGATATATATAATTAGGCCTGCTGAAAAATTAATTTTTTGCTATATGTTATACAATTAAAATAAATTAAAATTATCATAAAATTAATTTAAGCCAATTAATGATGAATTAATTACAATTAAATTTAATTTTTTTTTATTAGTGTAACCTGATCTTTTAAACAGCAAAAAAAAATCAAAAATCATGCCATAGTGAATATACAATATTATCTAATTGCATAAAATTGCAATTAATTGCCTCTACAATCAATTATTCGGTAGGCCTGCATATAATACATAAATCGATAATATGGGGTAGAACAAATATCACAAATTTAAAAGAAATAAATAGTTTTTATATTTAAAACAATGACTAAACAAGGAACAGATTTCTAAAAGATTAATTATAAAAGCTTGTTACTAGATGTTGAACGTGTCATTTAATGACAGGTAAGATTAAACTATTTTCTAATATAAAATCTATTGTAGTGATAGTGGTATGTAGATTTCTTCAATATTACACATGATAGAGATTAAAGTAAACCAGCAGTGATGACAGTCATATGAGCTTTGATCAACTTTCAAGCGTGACATGAAATTAAAGCTAGAATGAAAAGGCTATATTATAAAACCATTCTAACAGCTCTTTAGGGCTAGCATTTAATATTTGTATTAGAATGGTTTGTATTAAATATTAAAATTTATTATGTATGTCAATATGGTGTATTATTTAAATTAGATGATGATAATTAAATGGGCTAGGTGCTGGAAGGACCAAAAATGACAATTTTTTCAAAATAGATTTTTCGCATAAATTAATTTAGAATAAGGTTAGGAACTTTTTTTACTTAAGACACAAAGGTAGTTGTGTTAATAAAATTTTGCAGTATAGTTCTTTAAAGTTTGTGTTTTCTT